TGCCTGTCTGCTTCCCTCTGCTTTGCCTGGCCACAGACCACCACCACCCCCCTTCTCCAGCTTCCACCCAACGTCTCCACATTAATCTCCACTAGCACTGTTGGGACCCCTGGGAGAAACAGAACTGAAGAAGGCCTGGCCTGTACTTGGGGAGCTGAGTCTTTTGGAGAAGGGCTTGGGGCAACCCCATAAAGTCTGCACACAGAAAGACAGGCTGTAGAAGTGAAGCGAAGCACAAAGAAAAGCGTGAACAAAGGGAAAGAAGAGAAGGAGGCACGGGGAAAGGAAGATGGGTTGAGGAAAGAGGCACCGAAAAGTAGGAGCTTTGGAAAACTTATCAAAACTGTTAAAGATTTTTCTAGAGAAGTTTGCTCACCAAAGCGTGTGGAGAAGGGGAATTCATGGGCATGGCCAATAAGCCAGAAAGCAGAGGACAGGATAGCCATGAGGTTGGAGAGCACACAGAGAAAGTTAACAAAATTTCTGTCATGTCATGCCAAGTAAAGAAAATACATCCAGCTGGGTGTGATGGCACAATCCCAGCACAAAGGAGGCAGGGGCATGAGTTGGAGGTCAACCTGGTCTGCATAGCAAGTTTTTAGACAGTCAGGGTTGCACAGTGAGACATTGTGGTGGTAGAAAAGCCAGGTTGTGGACTGAAGAGATGGCTCAGAAGAGAACTGGCTGTTGATAGAGATTTCTGTCTCCCCCCCCACAACCTGCCCCATCCCACAACCATTTAGTTCCAAAGAAACACACAGAGGTCTACATTAATTATAAACTGGTTGGCTTATTAGCTCAGGCTTCTTATTAACTCTTATATCTTACATTAACCCATAATTCTTGTCTGTTAGCCACGTGGCTTAGTATTTTTTATCAGTGACGCATTCTCTTTTTGCTTCCTCAGCATCTGGGTGATGATTGCAGACTGAGCCTTTCCTCTTCCCAGAATTCTCCTGTTCTGGTCTCCCTGCCTACGCTTCCTGCCTGGCTACTGGCCAATGAGCATTTTATCAAACCAAATACAAGTGGAAAATCTTTACAGGGTACAAGACCATTGTCCCATAGCAACTGGCTATACTTCTGTTCTTCCAGAGGTACTGCATTTGCTTCCCAGGAACCACATGGTGGCTCACAACCACCTATGAGATCTGGTGCCCTGTTCTGGTGTGCAGACAGAATACTGTATACATAATTAATAATCTTTTTTAAAAAAAGAAAAGAAGGGGGCTGGAGAGATGGCTCAGAGGTTAAGAGCATTGCCTGCTCTACCAAAGGTCCTGAGTTCAATTCCCAGCAACCACATGGTGGCTCACAACCATGTGTAATGAGGTCTGTTGCCCTCTTCTGGCCTGCAGTCATACACACAGACAGAATATTGTATTGTATGCATAATAAATAAATATTTAAAAAAAAGAAAAGAAAAAAAACCAGGTTGATTTTACTTTTTACTGGATTTCTAATCCATCCTGGTAAATTTATGTTATTTTCATTTTGCTATAATTAAAAATAGGGAAAAAAGAGATAACATAGTTCCTTTAAATTTCTGAATCTTTAAAAAATGATTTATTTATGTGCTTATTTGTTATTATTTATTCAGCATTTTACATGCATGTATTGACATGTACCATGTGTGTACAGTGCACATAGAGGCCAGAAGTGAGCAGGGGATCCTCTGGAACTGGAGCTGTAAGTGATTATGAGCTGCCACATAGGCAATGGGAACTGAACCCAGATCTTCTATAAGAACAGGGAGTGCTGACTCCCGTGCATCAAGGAAGTAAAACCCTCCAGGCATATCTGGGTATGTGTGTACGAAGAATCTGAACAGAAAGACCCTAGGGCCTTGGCACTTACAGTTTTATGCAGTAGACTTGCAGTAAGAATTTAAGGATTGAGAGGGAACTGTGTCTAATTTCTAACTGCTAAAAAAATCCTGTCCTTGTATGTTAAGAAATGGTAGTAGTGGCTTTAAATTCACTACTGTATTTGGAATTCACCACTAGTTTCACAACATAGCCATTTTACTTAAAGTGTTAATACCTATTGTAGGTGGACTTTCCTTTCCCACTACCAGTTCCCAAATAACTGACTTGGAGACTCAATTATAAATGCTCAGCCAATAGCTCAGGCTTATTACTAACTAGCTCTTACAACTTAAAGCAACCCATATTTCTTATCTAAGTTCTACCACGTGGGTCATGGCTTGTTACCTCATTTTGTACATGTCCTGCTTCCTCTGTGTCTAGCTGGTGACTCTTCTGACTCTGTTCTTCCCAGAATTCTCTTAGTCTGGCTCTCCTACTCAATCTCCCCTGCCCAGTTATTAACCAGACAGTTCTTTATTAATCAGTGAGAGTAATATATATTTACAGTATACAAAGATTGTTCCACAGTAACCTATGATATGGCTTAAGGTATTTATAATAATTTAAGCTCAAAACCGTGGATGTCAATCCATATTGTGGAATCAGAGAATGGGTTCCCAAAAGTTATCTTCTGACCTTCTCATACCGGAGTCATGGCATATACATGCCATCCACACACCTGTGTGTATTCACATGCCAAATAATAAATAAATAAATATAATAAAAATTTTTAAAAACCTTCATTTTAGAATCTGTTTTGTCTTGGCTTCATTTCTGTGTTCACTTGTGTATAGCAGGGAAGTGGCTGTCCAAGGTTCCAAGGAATCTGAATACTGCGAGTCATGGAATCTGATGAATTATCATATTTTGAAAACTTTTAAAAGCCCTAAAATTCTTGCCACTTGATCTCTTGAGCCAGACTGGAAAGAAAAAGGGCAGCGAGTGATGGGTAGGGCAGAGAAGCAGCCATTGCCAGGCCAGGCAGTGATAGGGATGCTTCCTGAGGCTCTGGGCTTGCTGGGGGAAGCTGGGGAGGAAAGAAGCAGAAAGCAATTGGGGGTACAACTGGGAAGTTACAGAGCACATTCTCTCTAAGTAAGATGCCCTTTGGCCTCTAACAGGAGAAAAGAATCAGAAGTCATCAGGGGTCAGGGTCATTATTTCCTTGTCTCCTTGTTTCTCTAGGTCCACTGTGACTTCACCAAACAGAGCCTCTACACAAGGCTGGCCTTCAAAGCCATGCCCAGGAGGAGAAGAGTGGATTCTGTGTTTCTTCCTTCCCGTGGCATGGCTCAGGCAGGTCCTGGCTTCCTTCTTGCTGGATCCAGCTGAAGCCCAGTTTTGGCTCAGAGCACAAGCTATGCATTCATGGATTCCTGGAAGGCTGGGAGCCAGTCAGTTAGACAGATGTTTCTTACCCAAGACCTGATTTGTGTGCTCCTTTGTGGCTCTGCCAACAGTAGTCCTTCGCTGTCTAGGCTCTGTAAATTCTATCATGAGATCAGAAAACAGCCTGTGTCCAAGGCAGGGATAGAGAGATGGAGGAAGAGGGAGAGAGAGGTGTTGTATAAGAGCAGCGGGGCTGCGTCCCACCACCCTGCTAGCTTTATACCCGAAATAATTACAAGGAAACTGTATTCTTTTAAACACTGCCTGGCCCATTAGTTTTAACCTCTTATTGGCTAGCTCTTACATATTGATCTAACCCATTTCTAATAATCTGTGTTGCCCATGAGGTGGCTTACCAGGAAAGATCTTAACCTGTGTCTGCCTCAGGTTGGAGAATCATGGCAACTGCCTGACTCAGCTTCTTTCTCCCAGCATTCTGTTCTGTTTACTCCACCCACCTAAGGGTTGGCCTATCAAATGGGCCTAGGTAGTTTCTTTATTAATTAACCAATGAAAGCAACAGATTAGAAAGAAATCACTCCCACATCAGAGAGGGGGGATGTTTCTAATAAATTCATGTTCTGCTCAAGTGGGTAGAGCCCAGTGCCCCCTGACTTGGTTCTTTATTTTGTTTCCAATTTTGCATTTTCATAGATAAAGATGTTCTCAACTTGCTTGCGCGTGAATCTTTGTAAAGAGGTGAGATGTTAATGGGACTGGGAGTAGAATTTCAGGATGGAGAGCAAGAAGATATAGGAATCATAGAGGACAAGTTCAGGAGATTTGGGAGCAATAAGGCAAGCGAGGGATTGTCCTGGGCATTGGACACACATTTACCATCTCAAATCGAGTCACTCTGTGGGCACACGCAGCTTTCTGGAAGGCTGAGCCAAGCATCACCCTTCAGGTACTGGACTATGTGAAGTGAGGCCCAGTGCAGCAATAAAGATGCGTAACTATTTTGCTAGTGTTGTCTACTGAAACCTCAGCAAACCTAGAGTTCCATGTTTTAAAGCTGTTATAACTAATTCATGAAGTTTGCAGTTCTGCGAATTGAACCTAGAGTCTCTCACGTACCAGGAAAACTCCCTGCCACTGGGCTATACTCCCAGGCCAAAGGCTTCATGTTTTGCTTGACAAACATCACCTCAGAGAACAATGGACCAAGTGAGGAAATCCTGTAGGTATCATCAGAATGGTCCCCGCATCTCAGTGAGCATCACCAGACATTAGAGTATACTCCAGACATTAGGGGCCATCCTTGTCTGACATTGGAATGTAATGATCTGTGAGAATTCCATATGTTTCACCCATGGTTACCAAAGTCCTACCCTCCTTTGAGCAAAGGCAAAGAACTCATTCAAACATGCCACTGGTCTCCCCCACCCTGACTCAGGCTGAGTATTCTTCATAGAACCTCCTCGGGCATGGCTGTTGGAAAGGACACTTCAAATCTGTCCCTGCCAGGGCCCCCACCAACTACAAGCTCTACTTCTGAGCAGGTTTTGCCAGGCGCCAAAAACATCTCCAGTGCTCTGGCCAGGAGCAGCCAATGGAAACCACAGCCAGGACCCCTCCCACTCTCCCCCAGTGGCACCCCAGCTTCCTGCCTCCTGTCTCTCTTTCCTGACTGTCTGCCGGACTCAGAAGTGAGGATTCACCGGGCAGCAGCTTCAGCAGTACTGGAGGTTCCAAGACACCGCATCTCATCTGTGCTGTGGTCTCTGGAGGTGCACTACAAAGATGTCCTGGAGACAAGTCCTCCTCCTGTCGTCTCTCTTGGCCATGGTGCTCCTCTGTAGTAAGTATGGGAGGGCTGAAGAGTGGGCTGTGTCAGCTACATCGTAAGACCTTCTCTGTATAGGTCAGCTTGCTCAGCTTGCTGTATGGGGTGGTACGGGGTGGTATGGGGTGGTATGGGGAGGAAGAGGTATTAAGGTACCTATTCTTGGTGTGTGTGTGTGTGTGTGTGTGTGTGTGTGTGTGTGTACAAGATAATATAACACTGAGAAAAATAGCAAAGATAACAAATAGGAAACAAGCCAGCTCACACGGTAGATTCCATAAAGATTGGCTATGGGGTTGGTATATTGAGGGGCAGAGGGTCCCAATGTAGTCTAACAAATCACTGCACCCAGAATCATTGAAGCCCCACCGGGGCCTCTGATGCTGCAGCCTTTCCCTGTACCCCACAGTGTTCCAAGAGGGGACCAGTGCCTCTGTGGGCAGCAGCCAGGCAGCCGGAGAAGAGGCGCAGGAGGGTGAGTCTATGGGCTATCCTTACACGCGGGACAGGTGGATCTTGCTCCCCCCATCCCACGCTGGTTGTGAAGAGCGCTTTTCTGGTTTCAGGTATGAAACAGAAGATTTTCATGCCAGAGTCTGACGCCTCGAATTTCCTCAAGAGGCGTGGCAAGCGGTCTCCCAAGTCCCAAGATGAGGTCAATGGTAAGGATGCAAATGGTCTCCCTTCCATAACGAATACCAAAGCTCTTGGATGTTAGGTTGACTAGGCCTCTAAACGACCAACAGTGTCATATTTGGGGTCAGTGAGATAGCCCAATGGGTGAAGGGGCCCAGAATTCAATCCCTGGAACCCACACAGTAGGAGACAACTGACTCCTACAAGTTGGCCTCTGACCTCCGTGTGCACACCGTGTCACGTGTCCCTAACAAGTGAAATAAAAGTATAGGAACTGGTTGTCGGTCACAGGTTGGATCAATGTGGCACCAAGGTAAGGAACAATAAAAACGATGCCACCTCAAGAGCACCAAGATGTATTCAGAAGGTGATAAAAACTCAGGGTACCGGTATTAGGGACCCACGTGCTAAGAAGAGTGGGCTTGGTGACAGTTCTGCTGCAGAGTGGCCCCAGCCATTCCCTCCCTCTGATTCCAGATTCCTTATCTATAGACCCAGGAAAGATGCCTCAAATTTAGGGCAATGTAGCAAGAGAGGGGGCTGGTGTGTGTTTGTTTGTTTTCCTGCAGTTTAATTGTCTGTGAATTGCAGAGTCTCCAAGACTCTGAAGTCTGGTTCTTGACCTTCCAACCCAGCAGGGATTGAACTTTCTTACCCCTGAATTGATTCTTCCAAACCTCTGAGTTCAGACCATCCTGGCTGAGTCTGTGGCTTGATTCTTTCCTTGTGCCTGTGGATGAATGAACTCTTTGTGTCCCTTACCACGGTCTGCAAGGTGACTTCTCGCTCAGTAAAAACAGCAGGATTATTTTCAAACGATGGGGAAAGAATGGAGATGGAAGTGCTTGCAAATCCTTCTTTTTTTTTTTTTTAAGATTGGAGAAGTCTAACCAACCACAGTAGGCATATTGCCAGACCTCACACAGGTTGAAATTTGAAGTAGGCCAATGTCAAGCAACACTGAAAGTCTGTGCTAGAGGTTCAGACCTTGATTGCAGCCATAGAAGCAACCTCTGGCAGACACTGGGGAAGGAAACAGGTGTGGACAGGCAATTATCTTATGCCCTGTGAAACTGAGACAGAATATTGGGGTGCGTGATTAAGCCTGAGCTCTCTCACCTTGGAAGGCAGCTCAGGCAGGCAGGTAGGTAGTAGAGGAGGCCCAGCATATCCAAGTGAATACCCAGGACTTCACAGAAGGGGATCGGCAGTCACTGGGACAACTTCTGTGGACAGGTGGAGAAGCATCACCTTGGAATTAATCTGAACTTGGAACTGCTTTAGAAAAAGAATTGTGTGTGTGTGTGTGTGTGTGTGTGTGTGTGTGTACATACATGTGGGGACCAGAAGACAATTTCAGGAGTTATCTCTAAGCTGCTGTGCACTGTTTTAAGGCAGGGTCTCTCAGTGGCCTGGAACTTGCCAGATAGTCTAATCTGGTTGACCAGCAAGCCCCTTGGATGTTTCCCCCATCCAAGCTCTGGGATTACATGTACATGGCACCATGCCCAGTTACTTTTTGAAAATGCATACAATGCGTATGCTCCATCCCATGAAACATTGTTTAGGCTGAGTATGACATCATCCTTTGTTGCTGTTAATGTCAGATGGCCAATTGTTGGATGGTTTCTTTTACGAAGATGCTTCTTTAGAAACACCTTCCAGAACATCACAGCTCTCAGACTTTTATTATAGATGCCATCATGCTTGGTACAAAGTTAGTTGGGAATTGCTTTGTGTGTGTGTGTTTTGTGTGCAGCAGGGGCTCATCTGCTATGGTGCACAAGCGGAGGTCAGAGGGCAGCTAGTGGGGCTGGTTCTCTCCTACCATATGGGTCCTAGGGGCTGAATCACGTTGTCAGACTTGGTGACAGGCACTTTCAGCCACTGAGGCGTCTGGCCAGCCCCTCTTACCTACCCTTTCCATCTCAATACCAATCTCACAGGGGCGCAGAACAGACTAGAAGGTATTCGTCAATGTGAGATTAACTCTCACAGATCTTTATTTTTACTTTATATGTATGGGTGTTTTGCCTGCATGTATGTAATATGTGTATCGCATGCATGTCTGGTGCCCGTGGAGGCCAGAATAAGGACACTGGATTTCCTGGAATTGGAGTTACCGATGGTTGGGAGCTGTTTCGTGGGTGCTTAGAATCCAACCTGGGTCCCCTGGAAGAGCAGCCAGTGCTCTTAACTGCTGAGCCATCTCTCCAGCCCCCAAATGAATTTTCAGTCCGATTAATCTTTGGAGAGTTCATTGTCCATCACGGGAGTTAAAGTTTCTAAGTGGTCTGGTACTTGGGTCGCATGACTCACTTTGGGACCAGAGCCAAGGCACTTGCCCCGTTTGGGCCTCCATCTTCCCCTCCGCAAAATGGGGCGGCTGGATAGAGTCCCCCAGGCCCTTCACCGCGTAAAGTCCAGCTGAGGCATAAACCATTTCAGCAAAGCCCTTGGTCGCCCCTCTTCCCATCAGATCCAGTCTCTCAGGCACACTGGGGTGTCCCTCATACACGTGCCACCCCCTTGCTCCTTTCTCAAGAACAACTCTGTCTTCACAGTGGAAAACAGACAGAGGCTGCGGGATGACGAGCTGCGGAGAGAGTACTATGAGGAACAAAGGAACGAGTTTGAGAACTTCGTGGAGGAACAAAGAGACGGTAAGAGCTCTCCAGCAGCTTTGCTGCGGGAGGAGAGCATGGTGAGCAAGGCTAGGCTTGCCCCCATGTTCCCCTGATGTCTCCACCTTCTGAGGCTGGGGTCACTGTGTCCACCCAGTGTTCTACATGGATTTTGACCCTCTCGTCTTCACACTTGTATGTGACAAGATCATGATCTGCTAAGAGATCTCTCCAGCCTATAACTACACTCTGGTCAAAAGAACTGGCCACACAAAAGCACTGGTTCTTTTTTAATATTTATTTATTTATTTATTTATTTATTTATTTATTTATTTACCATGCCTCATACCTGACTTCTAATAGCTATAGTCCATCTTGGCTTCTCAATTACCCAATAGCAACATGGATCCTTAAGGTTCCCCACCCCCAAGGGTGTCTGTGCCTCTTTTTACTCATCTGTTGGAGGTACCCTTTTTACTAAGCCTTTGCTCTCATTGATAGAGTAGAAAAAATGCAGAGAGTTTGGGGCTCTTATGAGGCAATGGGAATCTTCTTCCTACAATTGGGACTCCGATCAGGACATGTTCACACCAGGCCTCATAGGAGGAGGTGTCGGTGGGGGCGAGGAGTTCAGGAAGGTTCTGTCTGCACTGCAGCTGACTAATGGTCTCGTGTCACCCACAGCAGATATCCATAGAGACTCTTAATGGAGAGAAAGGACGGAAAGAAGGAAGAAAGATGGAAGAAGGGGGAGAGGGGAGGCCGGGTGGTGGTGCACGTCTTTAATCCCAGCATTCCGGAGGCAGAGGCAGGTGGAGCTCTGTGAGTTCAAGGCTATCCTGGTCTACAGAGCAAGAGCCAGAACAGGCTACAAAGCTACACAGAGAAATTCTGCCTCAAAAAAACAAAACAAGGGCTGGAGAGATGGCTCAGTGGTTAAGAGCACAGACTACTCTTCCAGAGGTCCCGAGTTCAATTCCCAGCAACCACATGGTGGCTCACAACCATCTGTAATGAGATCTGGCGCTCTCTTCTGGCGTGCGGGCATACATGGAGGCAGAATGTTGTATACATAATAAATAAATACATCTTTAAAAAAAACAAAACTAACAAAAGTGGAAGGGGAGCCTGGAGAGATGGAGAAGAATGAAAATATAAATATTTCTCTTTGAGTCTTTTCCAATTTCAAGCCTCGTGTGTCCCCACACAGTCTCTTGGAACCTCCTGGTGCACGAGCTTGGGTACAAAGCTTTCGTTCGGGTCTTGTTGGCTTCCGTTCCCCTGGCTTATAGGCTCTGATGGGTGAGGAGGTCCTTCCTCTAAGGGCACAGAGAAAAGACTACTGCTAGAGACTAAGGGCTGAAACTGTGCCCAGTGCCCGGCAGTCGGCACCCAGCTAAGCCCTGCAAGCAGGTGTTGGGCTCAAATCCTAGGAAATCAAACTTTCTTGGGAACACAGTGTAAGGAACTCAGATTGTTACCTCAGGAGCAAATGCCTCAGTTAGAGATTTATGGACCTTGGCGAGCAGCTGAGGAGAGCTGGCTTGTTTTTACAACCTGAGGATTTGTAATCCAAGTTTGCTTCAGTGTGACTTACTCCCACTGTTCCTAATAACACTCGACACAGTGCCATATTAAATGCTTCAGGCCTTTTCCAGGCCTGGTGGTGCTGGCATGGAATCCCAGCACTTACTTGGTGGATTGAAGCCGGGGAATCTCAGCCTTGAAGCCAGCCTGGGCTACATAGTGAAACTGTCTCAAACAAACAAAACCAAAAAAGAACACCCCCCCCCCCAAAAAAAAACAACAAATGAAGCAAAATGTTTCATTTTCAAATTTCTAGCATATGGATGGACAAAACCTCACGGTTTTCTCTTTCATGATGAGTTGTAATATGGGTTCAGAGGATACCGAAACTGTGGTCCTTGAGCCCCACCCACACAGTGAGGCAGAGGCTGCTTGGGGACTGCCACTCCAGCGCTGTTGGCATCGAGCATTTGTAGGACAGACAATGTCTGCACTATATTCATTTCACAGTCTGAAAGAGTGAGCTTAGGGAAGGTCCACAGCCACGCACGGCAAGGTGCAGGAGACGCCCTAGGATGCGTGCGCAGTTCCTCTCCATTGTGAGAAATCACACTCATGGAGGCCTTGGGGGATCTTCCACCGGTACACAGGGTTGAAGGAATGGTCAGTGAGAAAGAGAGCGACCTGAAGGGTCTCTCCAGAGCTTAATACAGGAAGGGGAAAGAGGGCCAGCCTAGCTCACCATAGAATCAATTTTTGAAAAAAGTCAAACTCATTTACCACCCCACCCCACCCAGTCACAGTGGTCCAGCTGCCTGAACTTGTTACCTTGCAGACAGCTGCAGCCTTTTTCCTGAAAAATACTTTTATTTATATGATTATTAAGGACTTTTGGCAGTGAATAATAACAATTATTGAAAGCTATAAACTAGATGTAACAATTTTCAGTAAGATGCCCTTTTAAAATTATTAAGTATTTTCATTTATTTTATAGCCTGACTGTAGTTTCTCCTCCCTCCTCTTCTTCCATCCCCACCCCATCCCCCAGTCCATTCCTCCTCCTGTTTCTGTTCAGAAAGGGGTAGGCCTCCCATGGGTGTCAACAAAGCATGGCATATCAAGTTGAGGTAGGACTGAGCTCCTCTCCTTGTATGAAGGCTGGGCAAGGCAGCCCAGTACAAGAAGTAGGTTCCCGAAAGTCAGCTAAGCCAAAGTCTGAGCTCTGCCAGTGACCTGCTTCCTAAGAGGGACACCTTAACCCTCTTATTATGTCACAATCATAGCTCGGAGAGGAGTTGCTCCACTGAGAAATGTCTGGAAGGCTAACACCTCCACCAGGGCTGGGCTCTGTGTGTACCTGGTTGTTCCAAATACAGAAGGGGATTTCAGGGTGAAGGGGAGCACGCAGAAATGAGACCTTGATTTTGACAACAAAATGTTATTGTCGAAGCTTAGAAAACATAGAACACGCCAGGTATGGTGGCATGTACCTGTAATTCCAGCACTTAGGAAGTTGATGCAGCAGGATCATGAGTTCCAGGTCAGCCTCAAATGCAAAACAAAAGTGTATAGGGAAGATACCATGAGACACCATTCCACGCTGCCAATGATTTCCATGTTTGTCTTTAAATTACTGTTAGTGTGTGTTTGTGAATATAGAGGTGAGAACAACTTGTGGGAGTTGATTCTTTTTCACGTGGGTTTGAGGTGCAGAACTCAGGTTGTTAGGTTTAATGCCAAGCACTACCCCCAGACAACCCATCTCACTGGCCCTCGTACATGAGTTTTTCAAGGTGTGGCTTGTATCCCCATGTGGCCATGACATTACTTGCTAGTTTGATGTCTAGTTGTCTGTTTCAGCCTTTCCCCTCGTTGCTGGGTAGACTAGGTAAGACAGCTTGGATACCTTTGTCTCAGTTCTGCTGGCAACCAGCCATGAACTTTATCCCCGTGCTTGATCCAAAACCTGTGTACACACGGTCACCAGCCCCTGTCAGCTCTGATCTTGGAGCTGATGCACAGGAATCTTGGCTCAATGTCCCTTTAGTAGGTGCTGTGGGCTGATTGACAACTAAAGCAGGATTGGGTGTCCTCTCTATGCACAGTGACCTTTGTCTTTCCTCTTCAGAGCAGGAAGAGAGGACCAGGGAGGCAGTGGAGCAGTGGCGGCAGTGGCATTATGACGGCCTGTACCCTCCCTACCTCTACAACCGCCATCACATCTGACCTCAATCTGAAGCAACTGAGGAAGACAGGCATGACACCCGCCACCCATCTCCCCGACCCACCTCCCGCCCACCTGCCTCTCTCCTACAGACAGGCCCACAAGGTGAAGCTCAGGGGCTGCCCAGGCCAACAGCTCTGGGAACACACACCCTTTATTCTGATGTCTTACAATACCTGGCTTTTGTTTCTTTGTGGATTTTTTTTTTTTTGAGGTGAACAACCACCTACGTTTCTCCCATTATCAAATCTACATGCTGTCCCCTTGTTTAGCCACTGGAAACAGGATGAGAATGCCCATCTGATAGGACTGTTAAAAGGATTGCAGCAAAAGGTTTGCTTATGGCCTATTAATAAAGTTGCTGACTTAACCTTGTGTAGCATCGTAACAAAACTCCAAGGAAGCCGTGTGTCCGAGTGTCATGCTAAGTGCACGCTCTAGACTGAGCTACACCCCTTCCCCTATCCCCCCCCCCCAAACTTTATATGCTGAAGCCCTGTGCACAGGCAGAATGGAGGACCCGCCCTCCTTCCAGGGCCTGGTACTTGCCTTTCAAAACTAGGAGAATCCAGCTTGGAGTACAAGGCCCATCACGGTTCACAGTGGGTGACAAACTTCTGTAGCGCCACAGATACACAGCCATCTCTCTTCCCCCATTTCTCTTTCCTATGGGAATTTGTGGGGGCCTCTTTACCAGAAGCCTCAGTACAGTGGTCATGGTTCAGGTAGGTTCAGTTTCCACACGAGGAAGTAAGTCTCTGTCGGGTAGCAGGTACTCAGAGAATTTTCAGTGCGTCTGAGTTTTCCCTCCATAACTGTTTTGTATCAAAGCTAATGGTGCTCTTGGGGGGTGTGGCTAGTGTTGGTGTCCCTAATTCCTTACTCAGAAAAGGGGTGAAATGCGGGCCCTAATTTCTGTATTGTCAACCTGGAGATAGCAGCAATTTGAAACATTCACAGGTGAGTCTTGGGGAAGGGGCCCTTGAAACACACACGGCTGCTGGTGCCATCATACCTCACCAGGCTACAAGCGCACACCCGCCTGCAGAATTTGTCTGTCCCTACCCCCAGTGCTTCTGCGTGAGGCCCAGCCCCAGAAGAAAGGCTGTTCGGGAGCCTATTTATCTGCCATTGTTTGAGTCTAGACTGTCCACAAAAGCCCGAAGTTAAAAGGTTGGCACAGGTGGGCCCGGAAGGAGGAGTTCTGGGACAAAGACCTCCCAGGGACTGTGCACCTTGATGCCGTCCCATTCTCTCTCGCTGCTGACCGTGAAATGAGTGCCACATGTTCCTGCCATGACAGGCCCCACGCAAAGCCACAAGACGGGTCAGCCACGGACGGAAGCTTCAAAAACCAAGAAGGCCCCTAACTCCTCTCTCTTTAGATGCTGCTGGTCCCCAGGTATTTGTTACAGGAGAGGAAGGCCAACAGCTGGTGCTCTACATTGCCCTCTGGATATGCCATGCAGCTGTAAGTTAGCATGTGCTAACACTGGGGAAAACTGGTATCAACGAAAAGCTTGGCAGGTACCTCGATATTTGATAGCTATTTTTATTACATTACCCGAGGGTGCTGAGGTTACCAGCACTCCCAAGGAATGGGCATCTCAATGTTGAGATAGAGCTCAACAGAAAGGATCTGGCTTCTCGTGGAAACTGGATGAGAACGCACTCGGGTTTGAGCAGACCAAAGTTCGGAGATGTTCCTCTCTAATTTACTAGAGACTCGCACAGATTCCACCTGATTCCTGTCCCATCCCCAAATGGCAGAATAAGAGTCCAGAAACCGTTATTAATTCCCAAGTTTGTTTTCTTGGGGTGGCTCCTTTAGGTACCTGATCCACTTAGACTGGAAATCCTAGACTGATCCACCTTCATTCATACCTTCTGGGCCACCAAACATGAAGGGTGGTGAACCTTTTTAATGGGGCTAACCTTTCTAATAGCTTAGCCTGCTGTGAGCTTAGGTGGCTGGATTATATGTTGTTGGGCTAATGATCCAAGGGAGGTTGGACTGTGGTCACTTTTGGTTAGCCAGGAGCTAGATGACACAGGCTTTGAGAACTTTCCTCTTTGACGGGTAATTAGGAAGAAAGGTGCTTTCTAAATTGACTACAGTTGTCTCTCGGTATCTGAGAAGTCTGGGTCCCAGACTAACCAATGTCTAAAGATGTGCATTTCCTGTCATAAGCCACATGTTGGGGTGATAGCTGTCGGGGGTCCAACCTCGATAGAATTAGCAGGTTCCAGAGTAGGAGTGTGAGGATTAGAATTATTTAGCAAAGGAACAAAAATATGAGAGAAATAAAAGACAGAAACACGGAACAGCACTGGGAGAGAAATTCAGTGAATACTAAATTCGCCTGTGTTTATTTTCCACATGCTTATATACTCCACTCCAAAAGGGGAAGGGAGACTTCGTTAGCATGATATAAGGAATAGACCAAGTATCCTGCAGGCAGCCACTCCTGGAACTTCCTGCCAATCTCCTTGAAGGAGCAGGAATAGCCTTGAATTCTCTGACCTTTGGTCAAGTAGAGTGGACGCACCTCTACACTCAAATTAGCCACCCCCTAGGTCAGGATTTCTTATTTGTAGTCACAACTGTTGTCAACGACTCTGAGCGAGCAAAAATAAACTTCAAACTCTGACCTTTAGTCAAGATGGAAGGCACTCATATCTGTGAGCCCTGGAAAGTTCTTATATAAACCATGTATGCAGTAGCATTTGCACAACCCTCCCCCCAACATCTTGTATGTTCCAGTTCGTCTCTAGATCATGTAAAGGTAATAAATGGTATTATTCTCGAACTATTATTTTGAGAACAATGACAAAAATGTCTTAAGTCAGTGCAGATGCGATCTTTATCTCAAATGATTTTAATCTGTGGTTGTTGAGCTGGTATATACAAAATCCACACACATCTGGGTTACACACCCAGCTGGGCAACAGAAGAAAGGTAAAGTACTGCTCTCTCTATTCTAGGGAATCAGGGGTCCTAATCTGGTTGACCCTGTCCACTTGACCCACTTTCACCCGACCTCCTGGTTGGCATCTCCTCCCACAGGCTAGCAGGCAGGTAGATGGCAACAGCTGGGTGCATTCTGCTCCAAGGCCGCACCACACACGCACCAGCCTGTGGTGTCCGACGGAAGGGATGCTGGCACCAAGCAGACGCCCGAAAGTAAGATTTGGGAGAACAGCCAGTTAAAAAAATAAGTAAACAAAACAAAACCCTAAACAGTCTGCCCTTGCATACTGGCTGCACTTGGCATACTGGCCCTCGATAAAGAATTCTGGCGGCAGAGGCCGGGGAGGAATTCTTTCACCTCACTCACCCCTGTTCCCAACAAGGGGTCCATTATATTTCGTTTTCAAAAATTCAGTCTAGAACGCCTCCACTAAAAGGCCAGCACTGTCACTCCTGGTGAGAACGATGCCAAAGGTAACAGGACCAAGAATCCGAGCGACCAGATTCCATGGGGCACTGGCCAACAGAGCAATTTCCTGTTGTACTTTCCTGGCCTTGTCAAGGGCGGCTTCTGGAGCAGGTTTCTACCCTTTCCTTCCATCGCTGTCCCCTCTTTCTGAAGAGGCTGAGAACGAAGGTGTCAAAAATGTCTCACTAATTTCTATTCGCAGGTTTTATTTACAAATACTGGGAGGTGGGAGCTCAAGTTCGAGGTAGATTGGCAAAGCAATGCCTACCAAGTTCAAGGTCCTGGGCTCAATTCCCAGCACCACCCAAAACAAGGACGGTGACCAAAGAAACAGCTCCAGGGGTGATTCTATTTACTCAGACTTCCTGGGAAGTGCGTGGGGATTTTCCGAAGCCCCACAATGAGTCTTGTATTTTCTCTATACTTGTTACGTGTGTCCCCATTTGGTTATTTAATTTTTAATTAATTTTCAAACAGTAGTGTTCTAATGCCTTGGTAAGATCTTCATAATTTAGACTGGTGAGATGGCTCAAAGAGTAAAAGTGCTGTAATGCACATTAGCTCCACCACTTGCTATAGAATAGTCCTTAACTGTTTTTTTTATAAACTTAATGAACTCACTCACTCAAAATCAAAAATATGGCTACTGCAGATCACTCTCTAGACCAGAGGTTCTCAATCTGAGGGTTGTCTTCAAAACTACATTCTGATTCATAACAGTAGCAAAATCACAGTTATAAAGTAGCAATGAAATAATTTTATGGCTGGGGGTCACCACAACATGAGAAACTGTATTACAAAGTTGCAGCATTAGGGAAGTTAAGAACCACTGACTTAGGTCATACACAACCATCTTTAGACTCCTTCATGATTAAAGCAAGCATTTGTATTCAGACTAGAGACCGAATTTTTATAACGTATCCCAATGCTACACACAAACAGTTGGCTGGTGAAAGCAGCCCGATGCTGAAGGGTGGTGACAAGGATGAAAATTGCAATGAGATGCCACTACACACTGATTAGAATAGCTAAGCTTAAAAATGATTAACAAGGGGCTGGGGAGAGGGCGCAACAGTTAAGAGCACTTGCTGCTCTTCCAGAAGGAGAGCTTGGCTCCCAGCATCCATATAGGCGAGCTTAGGACAGCCTGTGACTTCAGCACCAGGGGATCTGAAGCCCTTTTCTGGCCTCTGTGGATACTTCATATACACAGAATGCACACGCGCGTGCATGCGCGCACGCACACACACACCTTAAAAAGACTGAGAGTATCAGGGGTTGGTAATACTGTGGAGCAAACGGAAAATTGAATTTTCACACATTTACTAGTTGATGTGAAAGAGAATACAACCACTTTCCAGTAAGGCTGGCAGTGTCTTATAAAGCTAACACACACACACACACACACACACACACACACACACACACACACACATATTTATGATACAACCTACATATTCTGTTTTTAGATTTTACCTAAAAGACCCAAGACATAAACACAGAAATACTTCTGAGTGGATATTTGTAGCAGCTTTAGTCACAGTCCCAAAGTGGAAATGATCCAATCAAAATGCCCAGTAATAGGTGATTAAATAAACGACAGGCACACCCATACTGTGGAACACTTAGTAATAACAATGGACACATGCAACAACATGAATGAGTCTCACAATACCATGCCAAGTCAAAGATGGCAGGCACATTTCTCTTAAACTCTAGGAAAAGATAAATAGAAAATGATAGAAAATGGATTCTTGTCTTAAGGACAAGTTCCTAGTGATTGTTCTTTTAATTCTAAAGTTTTTAAGTTTTTCTACAAATTGCTTCCAATTTTAGCCAACTGGCCTTTCATTTCTTTTTCATATATTGGCAAATGTAGAATTTCCTTTTTTTCTTGTTTGTTTGTTTCTTTTTTGAGACAGGGTTGACAGGGTTTCTCTGTGTAGCTTTGGAGCTTGAACTCATTCTGTAGACCAGGCTGGCCTCAACCTCACAGAGATGCGCCACCACCACTTGGCCGAATTTCACCTTTGAACTCTCCACAGTTCTGAGGAGACCCTGTGTACCCAAGCTCTATCACAACTAGTAATGATGATTTTCATGGCTATCAGTGACATACTTAGGCAAACAGATTTGTGCTCCTGCTTTAATAATAATAATAAAAAAAGATTCTATTTATTCTTACTTTATATGTAGGAGGTCAGAAAGTGGGGTAAAGGAGAATTGGATTCCTTGGAACTGGAGTTAACATGTGAGAGCTGGGAGTGAAGCCAGTTCCTCAGGAAGAGCACTGACTGTTCTTAACTGTGACCCATTGCTCCACATCTGTGCCCACAAACGCCTGGGCATTATTAATCCAACTCCTGCTCACTCTGCTAAACATCAGCTGCCCTGAAGCTTCTGTTGGGAAATATTCATTGCTCATTTGGAAGGGCCCTATTTGTTATTCTGCAGGACTGTTAGCTAAACAACTTCAACTTCCCTTGCTTGGAAACAGGATTTTGTTTTTAAAAAAGTTATTATGTTATAAACAGAAACAGAGAAAAAACAAAACAAACAAACAGCAACAAAAAAACATCATTGGTGGGTGGTAGTGGTGCACACCTAATCCCAGCACTTGGGAAGTAGAGACAGGTAGATAGATCTCTGTGAGTTCAAGGCCAATTTGGTTTACAGTGTGAGTTCCAGGACAGCTACACAGAAAAACCCTGTTTCAGAAAACCAAAACCAAACAACAAAACCAAACCAAACAAAGCATCATGAAGATGCATTCAGATGAGCCAGTTTCTGAATGTTGCTAGAATAGAGTGTATAGCCTGCCCTAATTACTGCCTGATGATACAAAAACAGCACCAACAATAGATCAAGAACAAAGAGAAACACGTGGTGAGTTTGTATGAAAGTATTTAATAGTTGGTAAAAGCACCAAAAAGCAGGATTATAAGACTAGTTCCATTAATGAGTATTTGAGGCTCATGAGCAGTTCTCGCTACTCCTCTTTACCCCTGAATATTCTGGGAAACCACACACAACACACACAAATCCAAGCCTTCCAATACTCAGTGTAAGTGGGAAGTGGCTCCACTGTGTTTCCAATTACTTAGAAGTTTAAAATTAAAGTTTAAAAATAAAGGCATCCAGACTCAGGCCACGATGAAGCCTTGTAAATACAGAAACATTTGAAAGATAGCCATGTCTCCTTGGTGCTTTAAAACCTCGTAACTACTTTCCACAGGATTACACTCTTGACATTGTCCAGTCAGAGTTCAGATTCCAGGGTAACGATCCTTCCAGTTTACTATAGCATTAGATAGCACCAGCACTCATCCGGGTCAAATACTATTTTATTTGAAAAATGGTTGTCTAGCCAGTCCGATCTCAAGAACTACAGTTCCTGGGGAAAAGTAGAGGCTTTGATCTTTAAGATTCTTGACACACATAATCAAGTATAGCCGCCACCCCCAAAGTCCATGAAATTCTGTCTGCACAGCTGGTTTCTGAGTCATGCTTTGCAGCTTCTCAGGTTGTATATCTGCTTTATTTTAATAAAGCCACCTTTAGGTATTTCTACTTCAGAGTCCAACAGCACTGTGAGCATCAAAGAGCTGAGTCACAATTGGCCCAGTGACTTGAAATAACAGTGGAACAAAAGGAAAGGGGGTGGCTTCCAATGTCACACATTCAGACCGCATGAGCAGCAAGGAAATTCTTCACCCGGAACCTGAGTGCTGGGTACCACAGACACAAAGCCCAGGCTTTGTTTACACACAAGGAAACTAAGCACCAACAGTCGTCCGAAATTTGTTCTTTTGTATCTCGGTGTCCACATTAACACCTGAACTTGACTGTGATTTAAATTAAAATATTCATTCTCTGTCTCCAATCAGGAGACCCAGAAGCACAGTTCCATGGTCACCTTTCAGTTTGGGGGCAAGCATCTGTGTGGCTGTTGTAAGACAGGCACTGGAGTGTGAACAGCAAAGACTGTGGCAGGCTGACTTCCCAGTGCCTGTCAGTGTTAACATGGTGTCAACCCCGCACACAATGGGAAGCAAGGAGGCAGGGTGCTTACCAAGCACTTTTTCCTCACAGTGCCAATCAGGAAGAAGGAGAACACAGAGCCACAAGAAGTAAGGGCGGCTGTGAGGAGCCATCTGCAGAGGGTTAGTTAAGGCTGTTCAGAAACTTGGCGTGCTCTTCACCTCTCGGCATCAGCGTCTCTCCTCCTATCTTTGGACCGGTCTTCTCCTAGGAAAAGGGGAGTGCACGGATAAGAAATGGGTCACCAACTGAGAGTCGTGCACAGGTACAGAGAACATCTAGAATGCCCCAAGGCCGGGTGCTATAGCTTTGGCACAGCCTCCTTTGTCTTCTCTCACCATAGGTCCAAAAAACAACAAGGCCATAGATTAAGCAGGCAGATACTGAAGAACTGTGAACTAAGTGAACCTTTCCTCCTTTGAGGCTGATTATGCAGGTAATGTTTGCTACAGTGATGAGAAGCAGATTATCATACACACCTTTAGCATTCCATCCCGTTCCCACTTGTAGAGGCCACAATTACTGAAACAGGAAAAAAAAGGCTTTACTCAGTAGTAAGGTATTAACAGACTCCCAACCCCATAGACATAAAGACAGTGGGGGTGGGGCTGGCACTCAGGGGGAAAGTTGTCCCTTCCTTAGCTGTTCAAGGAAGTTCTCATTATATTCTCATCTGTGGCTAAGTTCTGAAACTACTAACGCCTTGAGAAATGGCCTTCAGCTACTTTGTAATCTGGAGACTTCAGAGATGAAACTTCAGATGACGTACAACAGGGCAATACATATCCCAGTGAGGAGCACAATCTAGGCAGGAATTTTTGTTTCCTAGAGGAGAATGCTCTGGGTCTAGGGAGAGCACCATTCTCATAAGTGCTGTCTGCTGGAAAAGCTCCTGTTCTTCCAGCCACGGGCTGTACACACTGCTCACCCTAGTGAACACCCATCAGTCCACCACCACTGCGCACACCCTTCACCTGGGGGAGTGGGGCTACTTCTCAGGGGTCCCAGGTAACAGTCTCAGCCTGCGTGTTACCAGGAGCTACAGGAAGGCATGGGGTGATGATCTCATGCTCCAGGGACCATAAAGGAAGTGCCGCAGTGACCGAGAACCCGGGCAATTCCCCTACCTGCAGTGCTTGTTTGGGAGCCTGTCAAGGGAGATGGCCCTGTTTCCACAAGGACATTTGAAGAACCTCTTCATGCCATCGTGCCAGTGGAGGTTATGCTGTTCGCTGATGCAGGTCTCCAGTGGCTTGAAGTGGGTGTAGGCACACTGCACAGACAACACAAACCGCATGCGCAGTGAGAGGCTTTGAAGGAGGGACTAGGAGCTGCTGAGAGTCTTCCCGCCACAGTCTGTCCCTGCTGGGACTTCATCAACTCATCCTTTTTATGAGACAGGGTTCTGGAGCCCACACTGGTCTCAAATTCATGCTCACGTCGAGTCTCCTATTTCCAACTCTCAAATACTGGGATTGGAGGCACAGAGTCACCACACCAGGCTCAAGTGGATTTCTTGACTCTCTCTGACACTGATTTCCTAATGCCTGCCCCATTTCCAGCTAAGCAGACACACAGAATAACATTACTCTGAGATGTCAGGAAGGTTGAGTTTGGAGGTGCCTGTCTCTATACCCAGCATTTGGGAGGTTGCAGCAGAAAGGGAGTAAGCTCAAGGACAGTCTGAAGGGGAGTAAGCTCAAGGACAGCCTGAGACACAGTAAGTTTCAGCTCAGTCAGAGTTACATAGAACCCTCCCAAAGTAAATAAATAATTAAAAAAAAAATTCCAAGTTCCCAGAGATGGCAAACTTTGAACCATCAATACACAGGGTGTGTTGGAACTTAAACAGCAGGAGGAACAACTTGGTCGTAGCAGCCACAAGGCTGGATCTCCCTACAAATGCTCCACAGCATCACCATCCCGTCAGGCAGGGAGCCTGAACTTTGTCTATTTTCCAGCCTAACTAAATGACATTACAAGACACGGCCCCACATCCCCACATGCCTAATACCCTGCCAACTTGCCCCACACAGCCTTGCACGCACCGTCCTGCACGTCACTACTCGGCACTTCACTTCTCGGATGTTCCTCATCTTTTCTTCCATTTGTTCTTTTTTCACTAGTGGCTCAAAATAGGATTTCTGTAGCTCAGCCTCGGCCTGAGGAGAAAACCCACAGGAGTAACTCCACCAAATCCAGTAATGCTCACAATAGTTCGAGAACCATCAAAACAGAACTGAAGAGACAGGCAAAATGTCAGCATTCTTCACAGAATAAACCAACTGCAAACCAACGATCAGAAGAGGCACAAAAAAGAGTCCTTAAGATAGGGAATAAAAAGATCTAAAGGCATTTGGTTTTTAAAACAAATTCAAATAAATCCAGTGACATTATTAGCAATGCCAGTAAACAGACTGCTCCAACAGATTCCACACGGCCCCACGGGTCGCCACCCCATCTGCTAGGTACTGGTTTCTACAAGTGCTCAGGGCACAAGAGCATCCCAAGCAATTGGAGCAGCAGGGATGAGGGCAGGGGGCTGTATCTAAAGAGTGATGACACTCCTTTGGATAGCTGCACAAGGTGAGCATGCAGAACACACAGGAGTGCAGCCTGTAGTCTTTGAGGCTGGCATTGTTATCCTTTCTGAGTTTCAGTCCAGTGGAAAGACTTATGACCCGTTGTTAGGTATTAATCAATAGAAGAACAGATAATTGGGAACAGTGGCACTCCCCAGGGGATAGTCTGGGAATCTGCTATCTAAATGACTACTACCTCCAGCCCAGCAGGGTCACTCCCCGTATGACAACAGCATTCAGTGTCCTACACAGATGTGGCGTGCTTTAGGGGACATGTGGATAGGAACCTGACTATAACATACAGAACAGAACTGCTTTCTGCACAGCGCGATGCTCTTGTGTATGGTTGATAAACACTTGACTGTTCTAAGAACACGACTAGGCAGCTCCTGTGTGTACTGATGAAATGTTTAGTTCCCAGGATAACTCACGCCTGCTCTGCTGAAGCCTCGTTTCTAGGCTGTCTCATTTAGACTTATGGATTCAAGCCTCTGACTATATTATTTCTCCTAGGGTAAGCTATCTCCAAGCATTTAAAGGGCAAAATAAGTATTGTCAAAAATATTTTCCTGTTCTCTCTAATATAGTTTGTATATCATAATGATATCTCGGAAACTGTAAGTACAGGCAATTTATACTATCCATGAATTTTAATATGGATGCTTGTTATTAAAGGGGATTGGGAGTGATGGGGTTAATTGTTGACTGGATGTACCTGACATGTCAGTATAAAAATGTCTGAATGGAAAAAAATTCCTCTCATATTACAGAGAAGAAAACAAGTAGTAAACATTATTTCTATGTAACACAGCCAAGCCAAATGTAAACTTCATGATACGGCAGTCTATTTAATAAATACATCAGTTGTTATTCTTCATGGCAAGGACAAATGCAAACTTAAAATATTACTTGAGAGTACCAAGCAGATGGCTCAGTGGGTAAGAACACTTGCTTTGTAAGTTGAACCACCTGACCTGGATCCTTGGAATCCACATAAAAATTAACATGCATCTGTAACCCTAGTACAACTAAGGCAGAACCAAGAGAAATGCCCAGAAGCTTGTAGGTCAGCAGGCACACAGCCCAAGAGCTGAGCTGTCTTCTGATGTCCACACATACACACACACACATGTACACATCCCCCAGGTCAGCAGGCACACAGCACAGCAGCTGAGCTGTCTTCTGATGCTCACACACACACACACACACATGTACACATCCCCCAGGTCAGCAGGCACACAGCACAGCAGCTGAGCTGTCTTCTGATGCTCACACACATACACACACACATGTACACATCCCCCAGGTCAGCAGGCACACAGCACAGCAGCTGAGCTGTCTTCTGATGCTCACACACATACACACACACACACACACACACACACACACGTACACAGCCCCCATCTGAAACATTCCTGCTTCTCTAAGTGAACCACGCAGGTCTGTCTTCACCTGTGCAGAGAAGCAGATAGTCCAACTAGCACCTTGATTTGAATGACACTGATCTGATTGCTTAGGCGCTTACCTCTTTCAGGATGTCTGTGTGCTTAGACTTTGCTTTTAGAATTCTCTGGAATTCGTCTGATTCTAAGTAGGCAAGTTGCTCTCTCCTTTTTTTCCTGGCAGGCTCCAGCTCATCTTCTGCAGAACATAACGATTACTGAGAACACTGAGGGAACCAGTGTGCTTCACCCACCAGTTCCCTTCCCTTTCTGTTCCTTCCAGGCTGTTCAACCCTGACATCGGGAACCCACTTGTAACTGGCAGGGGTGACTTCAAGAGTGGACAGAAAGCTGGGCACGAGGGGCTGTGATCCCATTATTGGCAAAGTAAGGCAGGAGAATTACCAGGGTTGAAGACAACCTGGGCTGCATAATGAGGCTTTGTTAAAAACAAACAAACAAACAAACAAACAAAAAGTAACCAAAAACTAAACAGAGAGGTAGAGCCTAGAACAAGAACATGAGGTGGAGCATGCCCGACATGAAGACTGTCCTTCACTTCTGAGTACAATGATAGAAAAGAACACAAATTTGACTTACGAGCCCACTTAAAAGGACATTAGCAAAAAAAAAAAAAAAAAAAAAAAAGGACATTAGCAGCTCCTGTGTTTTTAAAAATAGAAACAGCGAATTATAACAAAGGAATTCCATTCCTTTCAGAAATCTTTATGTAAATATAAAACGCATAGATTCAGTGAACAATCCTTTCCTCACTGCTCAAATTGTACATGATTCCATTCCAAGTCAGTGTGTTATACAAGAATAACTGGATGAGCCAGGCAGGTGCTATGTGACTGCAAACCCAGACCTCAGGACACTGGAGCAAGAGGAGAATTGGACTTTGAGACCAACTCAGAACCAACACAATGTCAGGGTACTGGCGATACTTAGAGTACTTCTTTACTAACAGGATCTGTCTATCCCGCTACTAACTGTGAAGCTGCAATACCTTCAGGAGAAACCATGTTGCTCTTCTCTGCACGCTCCTTCACTTCCAGTACATCTTGGGGACACATCTGCTTCCTTACAATACAGTTTGGATCCGTTTTTGTAAGAATCTGGCCTTTTGCCCTTAATTTTGCAATAGCAGCTAACTAGAAAAAAAAAAGTTGATATGAGACAGATACCTGTAGCCTCAGCCCCTTTGTTCTCTAGAGAAACTGGGCTGCTAAGATGGTCCTATGTGGAAAGCGTAATGATCTGAGTTCCATCCTGGGAACCCATGTGGAGGGCAGAGAGAAGCTCTTCCTGCAAGCTGTCCTCTGACCACCACATGCATGACATGTGCACTACACACACACTAAAAAGAGCACACACAATTACTAAAATTTGACAGAACAGAAATAGGTCTACAAACAGATAGCAAAGATCTGGGCCTATGAATGGTATTTCACAGAAATAAGCACTATGAAGTAGCAGAAGTGTGCTTAGGGAAGTTGTTGGAAAGCCAAATGTTCTAACATAAAACACTTCAGAGATATACTGATTTGATACTTATAGGCTGATGAATGATGGGAGGAAAATATTAAGTGTCTTTGCTACTGTGATTATGTTTAATTTCTGTAACTAAACCATTATGTTTCTCTAAGAGTAGAAAGTTGTGCATATAGCAAAATCACTGCAAATTATAATATAAAACAGCATGGAAACTGAGCCAAGATTTCACAGCGTTCATTGGTGCTGTGTATTGGGATGGCATGTGGCAGGTTCAAAAGCAAGCCTGTAGAAGTCTCTCCATCAACACGGGCAAGGATTACCAGGAGCAGCCTGGATTCATCACGTGTTTGACTCTGAATTAATTTTCTGACATTGTGTGCTCATACTTTTATTAGTAATAAAATTTTCATGACTCATAAATTTAGTGACAAAGGGCCCCTAAACATAGTTGCAGCCCTGGTTAAGAAGCTAGATTTTCCACCATTATTTTGCAGTTTTATCTCAACAATTACAGGATTTTTTTTTGTCTAAAGCTACTGTCTCAAGCTGTAGACACTATCTTCCTGAAGGCTGTTTCTTCTAGACTGACAAGAAAGTGTACTGAGACAATGGCTCTCACCTTCTTGGATCAGATTAATGGCATTAGGCTGACACCATCATCGGTGCAAATTACTTTGAATCTATTTAGGATGATTGGTAAACAGCTGCTAAGCGACCATCTTTCCTGGACAGTAGCACAGGGATTCAAATGCAATCTCTAGTAACAGAATACAAAGTCAAGCAATGAAAACAGAAGCCAGCAAAACCAAACAGACACAAAATACCTTGGTGTTTATAGTACATACGAGTGCTTGTGTGCACATGCAAGAGCTTGTGGAGGCCACAAATGGACACCAGAGTTTTTCTTCCTTGATTGCTCTCACCTTATTTAGTTAAAATTCATTTGTATGTCCGAGAATCTGCTTATCTGTGTGTGTACCCTGTGTGTACAGGTGCCCTGGAGGGCAGAGGAGGGTGTCAGGCAGTTAGAGGCTGTGTGAGCTGCTGTTGCAGGTCTAGGATCCTCTAAGAGCATCCAACTTCTCCAACCAATGTGACCCACCTCTCCAGCCCCAGCCTCCTTATCTTTTGAGATAAGATCCCTCCAAACCCAGTGCTTACCAGTTGTCNCCCCCCCCCCCCCCCCCCGCCCAGAAGTGATGGTCAGCATGGATCCATTTGTGTGCACTCCCCTCCTCCACTAGTGCTGCAGGCAATAGGGATCCGAACTCAGGTCCTCACGCACAGCAAGCACTTCATCAGTGAGCCGTATCCCCACACCCCAGCTACCTTTTTAGCTTCTGCTGCTGCACACAGCTTTGGTTTTGGCGGCGGAGATTCATCAAAAAAGAGAACATCATCCCCTTCTGAGATGCCTCTTCCAAGCTTAGGCATCCGTGTGGCTGTGGTTTTTTCCAACCTGGGCAACTCGGCCCCAGTTCGAGGAGACTGGGCAGCAGACTGTTGAGACGAACATGGCACTGCTGGGCTCTGGACTTCAGTTGAGCTCTGAAGGAATCTTGAAAGGAATATGAAGTAACTAAATATGGGGCTGCGCATGTGGCTAGACAAATCATTTGTCTGGCACACTTCAGGTCCTGGGCTCCACCCCACAACCAAATCCCAAATTAAATAAATGCAAGTAAATACACTTCCAAGGCTCAAAAACCTTGAAGTCTAGAACTCTCAGCGGACTGGGAGACCCTAGACAAGCAAGAGAGGACAACTAGTTGTAGGTAAACAACTTCCTTTCTTCGGTTAAGAATTCAAATGAGCAACCAAGAACAACAGCAGCCTTGCTCACTGGGGGCTAACTGAATGCCGTAGCTGTTCTATCCCTGCCTAACCGATGACTCTTCACCAGCTGGCTCTGCTGGTGTGGAGGTAACTGTGTGTGGTCAGCTGTAAGACCCCCAGGGCCTCACGGCATCTCCCTGCTTTTCGGTTTATCCTACAGGAAGGGAGGGGTGAGATGGTGTGAGGGCAGGAGGTGAAATGACTAAAATTCCTTACAGACACGCATGAAACCGTAAAGAAAAGGAGAGCCTTACCAAGAATGGCACTGCAACCTACACAGTGATTCTTTTGTATAGATTTAACATATTAGGAGAAAGATTCAAGCCAGGTGTGGTGGCACATTCCTACACTTGGGAGGCAAAGCCAGGAGGATGATGAGCTCAAAGCTAACCCAGGCTGCATGAGTCAGGGTCTTACAATGTAGCACAGCACCTAGGATAGACAATGCTAAGTCTCATCAGTGCCAGGGCTACAAGCATGCACCACGCTGTCTGACTGAGAACATCCTTCCAATAATTACCTAGTTATACTTAAGACAACTTCAGTGTGAAGACATTCCACACACACATGAAACATCTATTCAGCGATGATGGGGAAGCTCAACTAATCACATCTGGTTAGGGTGTGGCCTCCAGGAGCCCAGGTAGAAAAACCTGGAGATGCAAGTACGTGCCCTCTCTGCGCAGTGCCTGCCGGGACCTACTGGATTTCGAAACTCCCATTCTTAGAGTGTAAGTTTCCCCTCTCTAACTATTAAAGTATTCCTGTTACTCTTGAGCTAGCCTGGTTACTTATCGTAACGACCTAATTCGCCAATACCAGCTCTGATCAATTATAGCAGACACAAAAGTTAGATGGTAAGTTTCAGGAGATGCGAAAAGCACAAGAAAAAAACTCAGTAAAGCAAAAGAATTTTATATTTTATAGTTGTTTGCAACATCCATAAGATGTTGTGAGCCCTACAGTCTCAAGAAGGATGTGTAAATGTTTTCCTACAGGGTCACACTGTTGCTCAAACTTGTAGCCCTCCTGCCTCTACCTTCAACGGTTGGGATTCTAGGCATGTGCTACCATGCCTGACACTTTCAAAACAATTGCTTTTTATGTATGTATGTATGTATGTATGTATGTATGTATGTATGCGTGCATGCATGCAAGCCCAACACTGAGTACATACAGGAGGTCAGAGGACAACTTGTGGGAGTTGGTTCTATACTTTTACCATGTTGGCCTGGGGATGGAATTCAGCTTGTCTGGCTTGAGGGCAGTCACATTTACCTGCTGGGTTACTTGCCAGCCCTCTCTTGACACCTTTAAAATAACAAAGTCTGGGGCTTTACTTCAGAACCACCCCACCCAAACTTTTCATTTTGTAGATAAAATACTGAGGTCAAGACCATTGTTCAGAAAGCCTCTTCTCACCTTCCTAGGGTCATACCTATTCCCTGTACCAGCAGGCTCTGGGAGCAGTAGCCTAAGCTAGACACAGACAGCTCAATGTCATTTAAGTTATAACACAAACAGCCAACCCACATCGGCAGCCACATTCAAAAACCAATTAGAGTGTTCTGAGGAGTCCTGGGTGAGCTATCCAATAGGGAGTTGAACTACCCCTTTACCGTTTCTGTATCTCTTCTGACTTCCTCTTCCGCATTTCTAGCATCTGTTGCTTTTGCTGCTTCAAGAGGGCTGATGCGGAGATTGACTGGATGGCAGGTTTTGGGCTCCCCATTACGCCTAAAACACAAGCCACATACTAGGGTTGTGGGGGAGGGAGGTCTGGGGAACATGGGCAGACATACCATAATCACATACACTGGCTGTACCTGAAGACTTGGCTTTGGCTAAATGCTTTAAGTTTCTGGCTCCAAATGTGGGCAGGGCCATCAATTCCCTGAACTCCTCGGAGCAAGACAAGCTCTTCTGGGGAATTCCTGAAATATGCAAACATTAATTCTAGAGGATTCAGAATTTAAATGGTTTCATATCATGTGACATCATTTTTTAAACACTATAATCATAACTTAGTAACTAGTTAGTGAATAAGATGGATTACTCAAAGAAAATGCAGAATTTTTAACTTAAAGGTCAGACTAGTAGGACAGTAAGGGAATCGTGAATATCAAATGCTAAGCCCCCGAGGTCTGTGGGGCCCATGGATATGCCATTTCTGGAACAGCATGAGTAAGAGGCCATGCAAGTAAGTTATGGGTCACCCTTAGGACCACAGGTACCAGTAGACTCTTGCTGTCACACCTAGGCCTATTTTAACAAAATCAGCCAGGAACCTGACACTGATCCTGGATGCTGAGAGCCTGCCTAGCTAAGACTTGGCTAAGATCAAGTTGCAGATTTTCCTTACTGCTTATCACCAAGCTTCTCTTCCTTTAGCCTATGCCACACTGACCACTAACCATGTGATAGCTGGTTATTCATCACTAGAGAACATAAGCAAGCCATAACCATTCTCAATCCCACATACTGCATCTACTGGAGACAGAGAATGGGTGCAGAAAAAAAATTACCAAGTTTTTGTTTTGTTTCCTGGATGATGGAGTTTGTGCCCCTCACAACCAGATTAGTCAAAGTGGTTTGAACCTTCTTCTTAGGAGCAACAGCTGCTGCCCTGAAAAGACAAGAGCCACCAAGGCAAAAATTACTGAGCTGCAATGCCTTCAGAAACAAACCATGAAGTTTTTTTTTTTTTTTTGGTATTTTTGTTTTTTGTTTTCCAAGACAGAGTTTCTCTGTAGCTTTGAAGCCTATCCTGGAACTAGCTCTTGTAGATCAGGCCTGCCTCTGCCTCCTGAGTGCTGGGATTAAAGGCGTGTGCCACCAGTGCCCAGCACAAGCCATGAAGATTTGCATGCGTTTGTTACCAACTGCCCAAGTTTCTCAAGCCTCACACAAGCAGGCTTTCCTAGCCATAATTGAGTAGCCAGAGTTCTGGTTTATACACTAAAACAGATGGAGAACAGGCAACCTACAGATTTGCTTGATGTCTTGCCAAAGGGTTGGAAAAAAATGTCAGTACTGTGTACAGAAGCCTAAGGATTTGTCTTAAAATAATTAGTGTCTGTTAAAGTTTAGTATTTTGCAATTATAGGTCAGTTTAAAATGTTATTAGAAGCTGGGCAGCGTGGCACAAACACGTCAGTCATCCCAACACTAGGGAGATGGAGGTAGGAGGTCAGGAAGTCAAGGCCAGGCTTCATCACACATGCACCCATGAAGTTAATGGTTTCTAAGAGATCTGCAACCTCACTCTATAATAATGACAACAGAAATAGTAACAACAAATAATAATAATACAGGAAATGACTCAAGGGATGTTGGAACTTTTGTTTTGATACAGGAATTCACACAGCCTAAGCTGGCCTGAAATTCTGCCACAGCTGGGCATGGAGTTCTGATTCTCCTGCCTCTATCTCTTGACTGTTTTCTCTTTTCTTCTCCCCTATTCCCCCCCCCCCCCAAAAAAAAAAAGAAACCAGGATTCCTTTATGTAGTACTTGCTCTCCTGGAACAACTAGCTCTGTAGAGCAGGTTATCCCCGAACCCATTGAGATCTGCCTGCCTCTGCCTCCCAAGTGCTGGAGGAGGAAAAGGTGTGTGCCACCACTGCCTGGCAATTGTTTTTCACTTTAGAAAAATGTTTATTTATTTTTATGTGTATATGCGCGTGTGTGTGTGTAGGTTTGCACAGTGAGTGCAGTGCCCAGAGAGGTCAACAAAGAGCAGGGCATCTCCTGAGGCTGGAGTTACAGAGGCTCTGAGCCACCTGGCCTGAGTCCTGGGAAGCAAACTCAGGTCCTCTGCCAAAGAGTACGCCCACTTCTCCAGACTGCTTCCTCCATTTGGGAGGCTTAGGCTAGCCTTGGGCTCATGTTCTTTCTGTCTCAGTCTCCCAAGAGCTGGGCCTGCAAATGTGGGCCACCCCACCCAGGCTAAACATGAAGCATGGGCTCTATGTTCAGATCACATGACCCTCCATTCATTCTGAGTGTACTCTTCTCTCCCTAGGAACGAAAGGTGCTCTTAACCACTTTGGCGAAATCCTTTCCCAAATGCAGCCCCGAGAAGTGTCTTACATGGACGCCGCAAAGGATTCAGAAGAAACCCCGCCATAGTAGAAACCATCTTGGCACAGCCGCTCTTTCAGGCTGGTGCCTTTGCGGAACCTCTTTGGAATCCGTCCCCCGGAGAAGGTCGACTGCAGATCGGACCGCTTTGCACTAAGCTTCTTGTACTGGGCCTGGATGTGATACTGGCAGTATTCGCAGTCATGCTGTTGGGGAAAAGCGCCCAGTGAGGACGTGGTCAGCAGGCTGGGGGCGGTGCGGTCCACTCTCCCAGAGCTCCCGTTGGCTCACCACTATAGCACTCAAAGTCCACCCCTCATGACTGAGTCAAAACCATAGGTAAAACCCAGACTGACAGATTTGAGACCCACCAAATTAACAATCTGTGTACACGGCTCTCCATTCTTCTTCTTGGCTTTACAGGTTCCCAGGTCCATAGCTTCTCCCATAATTAAGACTTTTTGAGGATGATCAATAGATAAGCACACCTGTGAGAGAAAGGTTGCACAAGCGCTAAAGGCCTTTATCGTAAGAATGGGTGGGTGAAGATTTCTGCAGCTGATTTTGGAAGGCATTTTTTTTTTTTTTTTTTTGTCTTTTTGAAACAGGGTTTCTCTATAGCTTTGGAGCCTGTCCTGGAACTAGCTCTTGTAGATCAGGCTGGTCTTGAACTCACAGATATCTGCCTGCCTCTGCCTCCCAGAGCCCTGGGATTGAAGGCGTGCCCCCCCCAACACTTTTGCTAGGCATTTTTGAAGTCAGAGCGCTATACAAATATAGACTGAGGAAAGCAGAAGACTCATTCCGCTCCCTTCTGTCTAACCAACTTTTCCTTCCTCTTGGTTATTTGAATCCTGACTGTCCTGGCTGGTCAAGTGCTTAGCCTCAGACAATGGATGTAGTAGCCCTGTTTTCCCAGCATTCCTTACAGCCAACAATGGTCATATAATAAGGACTGACAAATTATACTGAAACAGGAATTGACAGAAAAATCTTGATTTCCCACTAAAAAGAGCCAGGCTGGCTCACCCTCCTTCATCTTGCTGCCAGTGGTGGTAAGAGGCCAGGACAGTCTCTGAGTGACCTTGGCTGACTCAACTCTCCCACTCCCAGCTGCCAATTCTCAGGCAGACCTACCAAGAATACAGGCTGAGATAAGAAGGAATGTTCTCAACTGCCTGGGCTCTGCCCTTGTTTCCAGAAGGGGATATCTTGTCACTTGAGACCAGAAGGACTAGTGGTTACTAGGTAACAAAATCCAGATCAGAAAGCTTTAAAAATCCCCAGCTAGCCATGGAGCAAAGTTGGCCACAGGTAAGACTCCATCTATACTGGAGAGTTCTCCTGAGTCTAGAGAGATGAACCCCCAAGAGCATAAACTTCTATTAATTCTTGCAGCTTGTCTGTAATGGAATAGATTTGCCTATCAGATTCACACTCTGGTAGCAGAGTCTGTGCAAAACTGAACGCCAGATCTAGGAATTTTAGCAGAGAACAACAAGCTAATCAGAGCTAATCACAATCCAGGATCAGTAACCAATGAATACTAACTAGTCCCCTTCCAGGGTGGGGAGACACAGTACTCTGCTTCACAGAGTCAGTGAAGGCAGAAACTCACTGTGGTAGTTAGCGAAAAAATTGCCTCCACAGGTTCAAATATTTTAATGTTAGGCCCCAAGTTGGTTGAAATATTTTGAGAAGGATTAGAAGTTGCGGCCTTGTTGGAGGTGCTATATCACTGGGGGTGGGCTTTGAGGTTTCAAAAGCCCACACCAGGCTCGTCTCTCTTTCTGCTTCCAATTTCTGGACCAGGATGTAAGTAAGCTCTTAGCTACTGCTATAGTGCCATGTCTGCCTGCTGCCATGCTCCCCACTATGATGACCATGGACTCGCCCTCTGAAACTGGAAGCAAGGCCCCAGTTAAAGACTTTCTTATATAAGTTGTCTTGGACATGGTATCTCTTCAGTGATAAAAAAGTAAATTAAGATACTCCTAGAGATATGACATCACTAAACTACCTATTTCTAGATGTTTGTTTGTTTGAGGGAGGAGAGGACAGGGTCTTACTGTGTATTAGAGGATGGCCCAAACCTACCACGTAGCCTAGATTGGCCCAAAACTGTGACCTTCCTCATACCACAATGGACTTAAAAGAAAAGTTTGGCTGGCTAGATGGTTTAGTGGTGAGTACAACGTTTGGAATCCACATAGTAGAAGGTAAGAACCAATTCTGCAAGTTGTCCTCTCGTCCTCTGGTCTTGCCATGTATGCTCTGACACCCATTGCATCCCCTTCCAGTCCACAATAAATCAAAGGTAGTAAATTTAAAAAGCAAGACAAAATAAAGAGTTGGACAGTAGTAGCGCACGCCTTTAGTCCCAGCACTTGGGAGGTAGAGGCGGGCGGATCTCTGTGAGTTTGAGCTCGACAGAGTGAGTTCCAGGATAGGCTCCAAAACAAAGAAAGAAAATAAAGAAAAAACAGTAGTTTGGCATGGTAACTTATACCTGTATTCCTAGGACTTGGGAGGCAGAGACAAGAAGTCTGCTGCTAGTTCCAGGACAGCACTGGCAATAAGAAACACACACAGGCACACAAAGGAAAAAAGAAAAACTCATTGTTGGACTTTGTTGTTTTGGTTTTATATAAATGGATTTTACCTTGTAGCCCAAACTGGCCTTGAACTAATAGCAATTCCCTAACTTTAGCCTCTGAACTAATTTGATTACAGGTGTGAACTATCACACACAATTAAATCTCAGTGTTTATTGTTTAAAAGAAACTATTCAAGTGTTTTTGTTACGGATGGTCAAATACACTCTCACCCAACAGATGAAGACTTTTCACCATTCTCTGCTGGGTCAGTGTAGAAAGACTACCCATTGCAGTTCACACTGGCTAGCAATTCACCAGGGAAGCAGAGTAACCCAGAAAGTGAATGACGATGCGGAGGATAAAGATTTGCTTGGACTCTAAGCTCCAGCTAGGACTGTAAAATTAATGAAGCCAAATTCATTCAACTGCAACACACTGGTCTCTTGATACAGCCCTGGAAATTATGCAAAGCTAAGGAAACCTGAGTGGGAGAGCTCAATCAACTTGAGCTGGAGAAATGGCTTGGCAGGTAAAAGTGCTTGTGCAAGCCTGGAGTGCAGGTCCAGAAAGGTGGGAGGGAAGGGACTACGTAAAGCTGTGCTTGCATCTCCACATGTGAGCTGTGTCACACACATGCACTCTCTTTTCCTTTGATAATAATAAGAGTTAACTCTGGGAGCTGTGGCACTAATTCAAAACGATTTAGAATAAGTAGATTCACAGAATATTGGTAGGCAATGAGCCAACAAATGAAGAACCAGAACAATGGGGACAGGGTCAGTACACTTGAGAAATGGATTAACACAGATGTCTCTGACAAAGCACTAAGTGTATAAACCACACAGTCAAAGCTGATAGTCTTACCTCCTCGGAGCCTTCTTTGGGCTTCATGGGATTTGCATTGAGCAGTCCTATGACAGTCCCTTGCTCTGTCTTCCAGAGATCTTTGTGGACTTCTCCAAACAAGAACAAGGACACACACCGCGTCAGGTCACGAAGGTCATTTAGTTTCCAGATGCTAAATGTTTTCCCCTGGAGTGAACAGAGCTACTTTTAATCACTTTTGAACCCTATTTGATAGTGCCTCCACTTAGGGTTCAAGTGTCTTATTGTGGGAAAATATTTGAATCTAATTCACCCAAAATAAACGGCTGTCAGAGTCCTTTCAAATTCTACGCTAATTCTTTCTTTGGGCTTTAGTATTTATTACCTGCCTCATTTGGGATGAAAGAGAAGCAAGCCAGGCCACAAGCAAACTTAGCAGAGGGTCTAACTGGTCTAAGGGCCAGCACTTCTGTCCAGTGTCACAGTACGTGGTCGTGTGTCACAACTTCTCACACCCACCCTAGTGAGACAAGCAGCAGCTATGGTGTTATCACTCCTAACCCGATCATAGGACTAGAGATCAGGTAACCAACTGTCACCAACTATGCTAACAGTTATCCAAGCACACACCTGGCTGGAATGGGCCAAACATCTCAGCACCTCTGGACTGTCATCTTACAACCATGGAGATCTCTGGGATTTGTGGACTCAGCGTCTCTAATTACTTGGCTTTCTCCACAGGAGAGATTAGTGTTTTAGGGACCAACACAAGTGTCCTTTAAAAAGTGACAACCGAAATGCAGTAAAAATGACTGGACAATAAGAAGCCCAGCTGGCTCTCAGTCAAGAGTTCTCTGCTAATAGTACCCTTGGACACCAACCCAAAGACATGCGCTGACTAGAGGTTATTTCAAGAGGACCAACAGGCAGCAGCTGAAGACCCGTCGTTAGCCTGGGCAGGAGCAGCTTACACTGTTAGTGCTCTGTGGAGTGACTTTTCTCAGTATCACCCCGAATGTCACCCAGTCCGTTTCTTCCAGGTTCTCAGTTGCCAACTTCTCCTTGATCTGAGACAGTCTGATCAGTTTCCGACCTCTCATTTTCCTGTCCATTTCTGTGGAGGATACTCGCGGTCGCCTGCGTCAAGAAGCCAGTAATTAATGGGTTATTTTTCTGGCAGTAGACTAGCTGGCACCTTACCAGGTGGTAAGGGGGACAACAGGGGCAGCAACCTCTTCAGTGCTCAGGGAACTTTTGTATAATATGGACTTAGCATACATTTATTTTTATTTAGTTAGTTTTGGTTTCTTGGGACAGGAACTCAGTATGTTGCTCAGGTTGGCCTAGAACTCATAATCTTCCTGCCTCAATCTGGCTAAAGTAAGCTTTTTTTTTCCCCCTTAAAGTAGATTAAAAAATAACTTTCAAAGTGAAGATTACTTTTCCCTGGACATAGATTTGCCTATAAAGTTTACTTTATAATCCTTTGTAATTACAAGAAATTATAAGAAGGTACTGCTATTCTGGTTAAACTATCTTTTTTTGCTTTGAGACTGTGTTTCACTTTAATAGCCCAGGCTGGCCATGTAGTCATGCAGGCTAGCCTTAAACTCTCAATCCTCTTTCCTTAGCTTTCTGAGAGTGGGTATTAAAAGTATGAACCATCACACCTAAATTACATATATTTATAAATTTAAAAAATAGTCTAGGATTCTAAACCTGCACACAAGAGTCTAAAGTGCACCTATACAAAGATAGGAAGTTTTACAATAAAATCTCTATCACTGTTTTGATATGACAATGTCTGATTAAATAGTTATTATTTGCCCATTTTCTTATAACAGGCAAACATTCTTTTTTGTTTTTGGAAATAGGGTCTCTTACAAAGCCTTGGCTACCAAGGACTCACTCTGAAGACCAGGCTGGCCTTGAACTCACAGAGATCCTCCTGCCTCCTAAGAGCTGAGGTTAAAGGTGTGCACCACTATTCCTCACTGTGTGGCCGTCCTTAGACAGCCACATCATACTGCACAGGGTTAAAGATAGCATGGCCCACTGTCCTGCGGAGTTCCCAGTCTGAAAGGACACAGAGCCATCTAGTGGGACGTTACAGCTACTGACCTGAGACGCAGGCCTGAGAAGGCTTCCACGGCGACCTGGGGAGCCTGTGGGGCCCGTTCTTCAGAATTCCCAGGGGTTCCTGTGCTCTGATTTCTAGTCATGCCACTGGGTTTGTTTCCAGGAACAGTTTGTGGTGGTGAGGGTGCACTTTTTGGTCTTGGAGAGCTTTTGGGCTCTAGAAAATTGTTAATAACCTGTAGCGGCTGTGAGGGTGTGCTTGTCCTTGAAGATGACTCTAGAAAATTAGCATAACAAGTGGAGAGAGAAAGACTGAGAGGCGTAAACCTGCTTAGGGAGTTCTTTTTTAATCAACATATGGGATAATTTTTGTTGCTGTTTTGAGACTGGGTCTCAATATGTAGCCCAGGCTGGCCTAGAATGGAGGTTCCTCCAAATTTTGGATGTATAGGCACGCACCAAGATGCCTTAGGCAAACAAATCTTGAGAGAGAAGACCAAATCTCTGCAGTGCTGCCCAACAGAATTTTGAGTGGAAATGGTTGGGAAGCTCACAAATGCTTTTAACTCTAGCTCCACGGGAGCTAGTACACACACACACACACACACACACACACACACACACACACCCCAGCAGATGATGTATTTTCAACAGGGTGGAGCAGTGAGACCAGTGAGGCCTTGAGTACCATACCTGCAGGAGTCTTTGGCATCCTAGCTACCCGCTTGGCTCTGGGTAAAGCAGGGACATCAAGCTCTGCAGAAAAGCATGCTGACTCCTGAATTCTCCGAACTTTCTTTTCCTTAAGAGGGGGCTGAAGCGATGCACCTCCTTGATTGAAAATAAAAGGAATTAGGAATGCTGTGGTTTTGGCAGGAGCTGAATAAAAACAGTAATGTTATTGTTTCTTAGTAACAAATATGCATATTATTGCTAGAATTAAGTCACATTACCAGGTGATTTGTGCAAAAGGTCTATACTTGGAGGCTGTTTAATCGATGCTGCCTTTAGCTGCTCCTGTAAGGATTTCATCTGCTCTTGCAACTTCTTTAATTCCTCTATGAGAGAAAAATATACTAAGAATCAGGGGATAAACTACTGTGCCTGACACAAACACTGGCCGTATTCCTGTTGTCCTTGTCCCAACCTCGAGATTCACAACACAATCCTGTCTCAGTCAGAGTTACTATTGCTATGATGAAATACCATGACCAAAAGCAAATTGGGGAGGGAAATGTTTATTTGGCTTACTCTACCACAGCACTGTTCATCAGCAAAGGAAGTCAGGAAAGGAGGACAACCAGGGCAGGATTCTTGAGGCAGGAGCTGATGCAGAGACCATGGAGGATGCTGCTTACTAACTTGCTCCCTATGGCTTGCTCAGTCTTCGTTCTTATAGAACCCAGAACCACCAGCCCAGGAATGGCACCACCTACAGTGAGCTGGCCCTTCCCTGTGATCACTAATTAAGAAAATGCCTTACAGTCCAATCTTATGGAGGCATTTTCTCAATTAAGGTTCCCTCCTTTCAGATAATTCCAGCTTATGTCTAATTGACAGAAAACTATCTAGAACAAATCCCATACTTCAAACTCAAGAATAATTGTTATATTTCCAAGAAGTTCCATAGAGAAACAAATGTTTTATCCCTAGTAATCAAGCCTTTGACGTTTGGGCTAGCTATGAGCTTGTCCTACTAGCTGAGCATGGCGGTACATCCCTGTAATTCCAGCACTCAGGCGGCTGAGGTGACAGCCAGGATAAGACCCTTCCTCAGAAAAACAGAAACCCCAAACAAAAAGACAAAAGAGGAATTTGTACAGACACCTATCACAGAAGTCAAACAATAATTTGCTTCACAAGTTGAAGCTCACACGACAAACACCGGGTATTGGAAGAAACAGCTGACTACTGAGTCTTGTTCTAACTTAAAACTGTATGAAAAGAAAGGTGCATGCCTCAAAGTGGCAATCCAGGAATGGTCTCTTGTTCAAACAAACTGTGTGGCAGCTTTGTAGCCTTGTCCCTGGCTCCCATGAAAGCAAAATATTGTGTAAGCAGCAGGAACAGCGTTAGAGCCGTTTTGGGGAAGATCAGTTAGAGCTGGCTGACAAGGATGTAGGGAGGACCTTGAATGCTGAAGTCTGGCTTTAAAAGCCTCATTTATTATCAGCTCATTCAAGTCCAGTCATGTGTGTGCACACACACAAGGGCTTTGTTTTTGGGTTTTTTTTTTTTTTTTGGTTTTTTGAGACAGGGTTTCTCTGTGGTTTTGGAGCCTGTCCTGGAACTAGCTCTTGTAGACCAGGCTGGTCTCGAACTCACAGAGATCCGCCTGCCTCTGCCTCCCGAGTGCTGGGATTAAAGGCGTGCGCCACCACCGCCCGGCCACAAGGGCTTTGTTGTCAGTTGCCTTTCATTGCTCCTACTTTTTTGAGGCAGGGTCTCTCACTGAGCTCACAGATTGTGCCCCAGGGTCCCATCTGTCCCCAGCTGCTCACACTGGAGTTACAGATAGATACACACCACACCACTCAGCTTTGGAGTGGGCATTGTGGATTTGGACTCAAGTCCCCATGCATTTTACTGACTGAAGTCATTCTTCTAGCCTTTTATTTATTTTAGATAAAGCCATTGGCCACCACCCTTATACCTGCAGCTATTTTAAAGAGAACTATCAAACTTGTGGTCATCTACTTTCTCATGAATAAACTGGAGAAAGGAAGCAATCGGAGTACCTTGCAACTCCTGATTGGTTTTTTCTTGGCTGGGAGCAGGAACAGGGAGGACCTTGTTCTCAACTTGCGAAGTAGGAAGTTCATCATCTGTTAAGTCCCCCACATCGCCAAAGAGAGTGGCCAAATTTTCCTCCTGGCTTTCTTTCTTCCCCTCTTCTCCACTGTCGGCCTCCTCTGTGTAAGATTCGCCATCGCCATCAGCATCAAAAAGCTCATCAAATTCATCAGGCTCACCGTCCTCGGGAGACAAGGAGTTATTCTCTTCTGAATGACAAGGCAAGGCTGCCTTGTTCTCCTCCAGCAGGGATGCCAGTAGAGACAGGCCGTCTTCCTCCACTAGGGGAAATGGGAAAGTAAGTTTACCCCAGGAAGAATGATATGACAAGCACACTTACTCAGTCAGCACGGACACCCCAACAGAAACAGGCCTCCAGATCTGTCACTCTGCTGGCGGTTGTTGGCCTTTTATATTCTTTCCTGACCCTGAGAGCAGGGGCCAGGCACCGAGCAAGAACTTCTTGCTGGCACTACTCTAAAGAGCCGTCCTCCTACAATATCTACTTTCATGGAATTTGACCAAGGAATAACTGAAGAACACTCAGACATAGATGTAGACCAGACTTTACCTACTCTCACTTTTCAATTGTTACTTTTAAATGGGGAAAGAAACATAAAGTCATCACCTAGAATTAGTTATCATTAACATTTTTGTCATATTTGCTTTTATTTGACCTTTAAAGACAAATAATACTTGGGTTTGAGAGATGGTTCAGCAGTTGAGAGCATTGACTGCTCTTCCAGAGGACCCAGGTTCAATTCCCAGAACCTATATGGCAACTAACAACTGCCTATAACCCAAGATCTGACACCCTCACACAGACATATATGCAGGCAAAACACCAATGCAAATAAAATAAAAATAATTAAAAAAAGATAAATAATACTTTATTCCATTGGTGATTTCACGTGAATGATAAAATTAACCCAATTTAGAACATAGAGTGAAACAAGATCTTGTCCAGGATAATCTCAACTTTTGCTTTTACTTTGCTTGAAGAAGGCAAAGTATAATAAGCCTGAGTCAAAGAGAAGTACAGTTTCAGCTGGGAAGTGGTGGCACACACCTTTAATCCTAGCACTTGGAAGCAGAGGCATAAGGATTGCTGAGTTTGAGGCTAGCCTGGTGTACGAAGTGAATTCTAGGACTGTCATGGAATCACAGAAAAACTGTCTCAAAAAAGAAAAAAAATTGCAGTGTCTGGCAATGAGCTCAATTATTTAGGTGACAAACAACAACAAAAATCCCATTCTATCTGTTCAGATCCCATTAGAACCAGCACAAACTTTCTGAGTAGCTCCAAGTTGAACTTGGCTGATTAGAGCAATATTTCTTCATTGGGATTTTTCTTTGCACAAATCCCCCCCCCCAAAAAAAACAAGCAAAATTAGAAGGACTATAAGAATTAAAACTACTAGACTAGGCAGTGGTGGTGCATGCCTTTAATCCCAGCAGCTGGGAGACAGAGGCAGGATCTCCTTGAGTTCAAGGCCGGCCTGGTCTACAAGAGCTATTTCCAGGGCACCCAGGGCTGTTACACAGAGAAACCTTGTCTTGAAAAACCAAAAAACTATTAGACTCAAACCATTTCAAAAGATTTTCGCATCCAGAGTGACCTCTGAAGTCAGGCCGCCCAGCTTGATTCCCTGACCTGACAGTCTGACACGAGAAGTCACTAAACATGACTATTTTGTAGTAGAAGAAGACCAAATGGTAGTTCTCCGTGAACCAAAGAGGAATCAATAAAAGCGGAAGGCCTTACCATTCATGCTGTCGAGAGAATAGTTGAGATGAGCAAGTGTGATGGCAGATCGGGTGGGCGGCCCCGGAGATGAGTAGAAGAATCTCGGCTGTGTAAAACCAAGAGATGGTCACGTCACCCTTGAGTCGCCTCACACCCAACAGAACCCAAATCCCCAATTCTGTGAACTCTAACCTTGGAATGCATCCAGCACTTGGCATTTCTCACTCCCACCCCATTATCAACACTCAGTAGCATCCTCCTCCTTGCATATAAGGTCATGCTCAACTTCCTTAGCGATCAGGGAAATGCAAATCAAGACAACTTTAAGATACAATCTTACACCTGTCAGAATGACTAAAATCAAAAACACCAATGATAACCTTTGCTGGAGAGGTTGTGGAGAAAGGGGTACACTCATCCATTGCTGGTGGGAATGCAAACTTGTGCAACCACTCTGGAAAGCAGTGTGGCGGTTTCTCAGAAAATTCGGGATCAACCTACCCCTGGACCCAGCAATACTACTCTTGGGAATATACCCAAGAGAGGCCTTATCATACAACAAAAATATATGCTCTACTATGTTCATAGCAGCATTGTTTGTAATAGCCAGAACCTGGAAACA